TCTCATATGTCCAAATATAATCCACAGTATATTTTGTTCTAGTGAATGTGTTAGTGTGAGCCTGTGGAAGTGCTTATTACAGCCGAGATAGGGCTGTTAAATGATCTTGTGCTGGCAGAGCAACTCAACATTCTACAAGACACTTCTAAAAATGGGGAAAGCCCAAACAAACAATTATGACTTTGAAACTGGGCTTCAGATCATTACAGTCTGCTCTTCTTCTTGCCAAATTTGGGGAAGTGTAGGCCAAGAGTTTTTTCAAGTTATGATTTCTTAAAAGTAAAACTATTTTACACCCCCCGGTTCGGAAATAGGTGACCCCAAATGTTCTCAGATTTAAAATAACTTCTATAAATTGAAAATACAATTCTTGTTTAACTTGAAAGAGAGTGGTTGGTCCCACCCACTTTATTTTGTTTGGAAGAAATTCAGGCTTTTGAGGATGAAATAGTCATCCTGTAAAATGCCTTTCAAATGCAAGAAACACTAATTTTATCATCACACCGAGCATGCGTGAAACAGGCTTGCCAACAGGAGCTTTGTAAATTAGATACTTGTAGCTTTGTGGGTAGGGAAGGGAGATTTGATGGAGAGCTATAGGACAAATAATGGTCACATAAACAGTAAAAAGATGGTTTTCTTTGAATATCCAGAGAATTAGCATACAACTTTGTAAGGCATAGTCAAAGTATTTCTGCCTTTAAAAAGCACACAGCAGTTGTGTTTGTCCCAGCTCTGACAGTAAATATTCTGCCTGTCAATCAGGACCTAACTGAAAGTTTAACTCTGTCCTGACTAAATGTGCAAGCAAATGGATTCTGTGCCTGCTTGTAAAATATATATATATTTAAGACATTTTAAAAGAAGAGAGAACAAATATTCAGAAGCTCATTCATTTAAACTGTGAAATTACTGGTTTTTGCTTTCTTCGTGGGAGTGGTCTTATTCGATGTTAGCAGAGTTTTGATCCTGTATCCTGTCATAGTCTCAACCGTTACACCTGTCTTGTCATTGTAACAGTTATTTGGTAAATTAAAAAATAATGACAACTTCCAACTTGACAATTGCTTTCTGTTTGGGTGAGAAGTGTTTAGCTGATGAAAAAAGGATTCAGCTTCTGGGATCATCCCCTGCTTTATGAATGGTAGTGAGCACAAGAGGTTATCTTGTAGACCATCTTGACATTGACATCGTTGACATTCAGACTCTTTGCTATGTAAAATTTGGCATCCTTTTTTCTGCTGTCGGTGTGGGTACAATATTGTGCAGCAATATTGGGCAATTTCCTGGCATTTTGAATTATGGCCACAGAAGCAGACAATCCCTCTTTCATAAAGTGGAGTTTTTTTTAAAAGGATTAAACATTAAAACATTATTTCATCCCCCCTCCCCCAAAATCCGGTGTCCTTAGCATCTAAAACTTGAATACACATCTTTAGGAGCATATGCACATTGAACAGAATCCAGAGAAATGTGGGAATACTTGGATGGCTGTGAAAAGTCATTGATTCATACCAAACTGAATTTCTGAGTCTCTTGACAGATGTGGGATGTCTTTACTACATTTACTACTACTGCTACTTCATAATTTCATTAATTCTTACTTTATTTTGTTCACATTTTTATGATACTGGCTTTGAAGCAGCATTGGGATGTCTTTACTACATTTACTACTACTACTTCATCATTTCATTAATTCTTGCTTTTTTTTTTGTTCATTTTTTAATGATACTGGCTTTGAAGCAGCAGGTTGCACACTGATCTATAGTTGGTAATATCACCTTTAATTTATTTATTCTTTATTCATGGATGGGTCAGTGAGTTAAGTATCTATATGCAGTGCCAGAGATTGGGTTTTCAGTCCCCTAATGTCCCTCCAGGGAGAAGAGCCAGCCTGTGTAGCCTTACTCAAAGCTGCACAGTCTCAGGGTATCCCCAGAAGAAGGAAGTGAAAGAGAAGCTACTTCTGAGTAGTCTATACCTAGAAAGTCCTGGGAAGGTTCACGATGAGTCATAATTTACTTGATGGTGTGCTTTTATTGTTATTATTAACTTTTATATTCTCCTTCTCTCCAAGAAATAGCTCTCCCCAACTCCCTACTTTATCTTTCCAGCAACCTTGTGAGAGAGGGTGTGATTGGCCCAAAATCACGTAGTGATTTCCTACCCTGATAGGGATTAGAATCTTGATTTATCACATCCCAGTCCAGCATCATAACTGCTACAACACACCGTATCTGCTGCTGTTGCTACTTGAATTGAGGGAACAGATCTTGCCAGCAGTGACGACAAGGCTTCCAGGTCGCGAAGCTAGGAGCCTTTTCAAAAGGTGTTGATTCCTATAGTTGGCTCACAAACCTTAAAGAGATGGATGGGCTATTAAGTACTGTGTAAGATTAGGCTAAAAAAGAATTGGGTTAAAGGCTACTTGTGAGGTGTAGAAAAAAAAATGGATAGGCACTGTTTTTTAAGCATGCTACTTTGTTCTGTGCTTTAGAGTCCAAGGTTCTGGGTTGGTTGAATTGTGCCTTTGCTTCACGTGTTGCTTGCAAAATAGTAACATGACTAATTGCCAGTGGTGCTGCTGTACGGCTTAACGAGCTAAGGAAGTGATAGGGCAATCGTTTGCATTCTCCCTTTCTCTCCCTCTTTTTCTCTCTGGGTGTATTTTGGGATAAGGCAGGCTGTAAAATTCTAAAGAAAGCCTGCGCAACGTTTGTAACCGTGATTCAGCAGAACACTTAAGTAGGCCATTTGATCTCTGCTATAGAAAAGTAGGCTTTATTTTGTAAAGTTCTTAGATCTCTCTCTCTCTCTCTCTTTCTGTGACTTATACAAAGGGTCTCTAGAGAGCATGGGAGTTATACAGTCCTTCTTAGTTCAGCCTGTGGAGTGTCCAACTCTGGGAAATTACAGCTGCTCTATTTTTTTTCAGCAAGATGGGTAAAGTGTGGTTGTGCAGGTGATGTTGGACTGCAACTCCCATCATTCCCAACCAGCAAAGCAAATGGTGAGAAGTTTTGAGAATTACAGTACAATATTTGCTTGTGCGCACTTCACCCAGGCCTATTGTATTATAGTAATGAAAGCAGTACTGTATGCATCCTCTTCCAGTGATAGTTTGGATGTGGCACTTTGGCCCAGATGACTGTGAGTGATCACTGGAAGCATTGCTTATGGGACTTAATTCTTCCAAGGAATGTTTGTTGTAAGGTAACAAAGAGTAAAAGCTTTACCACACATAGGGTGCCGTTGAGAGTCAGTGTGATACAGTGGCTAGAGGGACAGATTAATGTTCAGAAGATCTGGTTTCAAATCCTCACTCGGCCATGGAAATTCACTGTGGGGGAGCGCTGGCAAAACCACTCCTTAAACATCTCACATAAAGTGCCTTGAAAATCTGAATAGGGCTTCCGTAAGTCAGAAGTGACTTGATGGCATGTAAGAACAGTAGGGTATGCTCACATTTTGGATAAATGAAATATGTTTGTATATATTAGTTTGAGTCATGGATTTATGCTTTCACTAATTGTACTGTGATAGTTTTGGCAACTACTGCTGGTCTTATAGGTACTGATTATGCGGATAAGGATCCTAATTGAAAGATTCAGTGCCTTTCACCTAATTAGCAATTAATTGTATTATGGTCCTCTCTTTATGTTCATTCTTTTGAGAGCCAGTTCATGATAAGCATGAATGAATATAAGTAGGGTTGGAAATATATATTTTTGGACTATTAGAATGCTAGGATCCCTAATCAGCTGGGGAAAAAGTAACTTTTCCAAGCTCAGCATATCTGTGTATCTGTTCCAGCTGTACTGTCATTAGCCATAGGGCATTGGGAGGGGATGAGTGAGATCCATGGGTTTCTTCTTTATAGTGTTCAAAATCTAGACTTTGATTGTGGGGGATGATGACAGGACAGTCAAGAGTAACAAAGAAGAGTGTGGGATTACTAGAAGCTAGGGTAATAAAGAATAAATGTTACTCATTGATGAACACTGTTTGCTCAAATTGTAAAAGCTCATACAGTAGCTGCAATCATTGCAGTATGTCAAAATCATGGCCATGTGACTCCTTTGACAGCTTTTTTCTGAAACACGTACCTCTCCAGGCATCATTTTGCTGGCTTCTGCAGGGGCCTGGTTCATGTGAATGCCACAGCATTTACTTGCTGGAGCTATTGTGGGCAGACTGCTTAAACTCTGCCTTGGAAGGTCTTTGGAGGGTAGGGAGGAAGGAATTGGATGTGTGTAGCAATAGCTAGAAGTAGGGTGGGGCTTAAGAGGGAACCCTTTGAAGTGAGAATGGAGTGGAATTGTCAATTTAAAATGCATCTCAGTCATATCTGTGTTTTGTAGTTGCAGATTATCTGGTTTTTATCAGCTAGCTGTTGTGTGTCACTGATACAGATACAAACTTTAGGTACAAAGAAAGAATGGAAAAGCAGAATGACAAAAAAGGGACCTATAAGTAAAATTAAAGTGGAGAAATGAATATTACCATTTATTAGGACCACTGAAGTGTTACCAAGTGGTGTGAAGGCGGTATGAGTTTTTCAGAATGGATTGTCTGGCACTCAGGTACAAAAATTAGAAAATAAGGAAGATGCAATAAGTATAAAAATAAAACCAGGTAATGTTATATCTATTTAACATCAAGATGTTAAAGAAAACACAGGACATCATAGGCTCAACTAAGAGCATTGAAATTTGTTTTTCGAAAAATACAGCCAGCACTTGTAAATCTGATTGTGTGGTAAAAATGGCATATGGTAAATAACTAAATGAGTGAGCTTTGAGGAAAAAACATAATAACATAACCAACCAAATAAGTCACCCTCCAGCAAAAAATACCATAAAACAGATAACACTGTGTTCCACAAAGCTAGAATGAGAAAAATAGCTTCCAAATTCCAGCTACAATACCCTACTACTAAAAAAAAAAAAACATTTAAATGATACTCTTTGCTTTTAGTACTACACGTAGTTCCAGAGAATATGATCTATGTTCACCCATACCTCTCAAAGAAAGATCTGAGTCCACACATCCAGTGCAAAAAGATTGATCTGAGTAGCGGGACAACCAAGTAAGGTAAAGGTAATGGTTTCTCTTGACATTTAGTCCAGTCTTGTCCGACTCTAGGGGCGGTGCTCATCCTCGTCACATGGATTCGATCTTATGACTCCTGGTGTTCTGACTTTGCAGCACAGAGGCTTCTGCGGTTTAACCCACAGCACCACCATGTCCTATAACCAGACAACACCTCAAAAAACCAAACCTGTTTTGTGTGGCCATAGATACTAAATATTTGAAAGTCTGTCAGTTGAGGGCAAAATGGAAAAAAAAAACCCTGTGTGGACAGTACAGTATTCCCCAGTACCCATGGGGCTTGTTATTCTCACATTGTTTCCTACTGAAGATAGCATTTCAGTTTCCATTCTGATCAAGGTAAAAAGGCATCAATAACAGAATGTAGTAGAGCCTGTTTTGTAGGTAAATCAGTGAATTCACTACCCTCAACCCCAGCATATGTTGAGTTTGGTTGAGATCCAACCAAACTGAAGCTGAGTACCTATTGAACTGTGTTCTGAATGTAAAGATTAGAACTCATTAACTGTTGCTGTCTTCCAGCCACGTCCACCACCTTCAAGAGCCAGCAGCTCAGAAAGAAAATCAGGCAAAACATTGTCAAATCTTACCTCTGGAACACCTCAAGCAGCCCACCCTAGCATGAGACATAGTATTGAGGACTAAGCTGATGCATAGTTGCAATGCTTAACAGGGACATAGGGAATATGTGGGTCTCCAAACATTGCTTTACTACACAAGAGTAAGGTAAAGGTAAAGGTTCCCCTTGACAATTTTTTGTCCATTCGTGTTTGACTCTAGGGGGCGGTGCTCATCCCCGTTTCCAAGCCATAGAGCCAGCGTTTTGTCCGAAGACAATCTTCCGTGGTCACATGGCCAGTGCGACTTAGACACGGAACGCTGTTACCTTCCCACCGAGGTGGTCCCTATTTATCTACTCGCATTTGCATGCTTTCGAACCGCTAGGTTGGCAGGAGGTGCGACAAGCGACGGGCGCTCACTCTGTTGCGTGGATTCGATCTTACAACTGCTTGGTCTTCTGACCGTGCAGCACAGGCTTCTGTGGTTTAGCTCGCAGCGCCACCACATCACTACACAAGAGTACCTGCCGCATTTTTAGTACCTGTACTCTGTAGCCAGCATAATATGTTTTGATGCATTCTGTGACTTGCAGTCCAACATCATATGGAGAGCAATTTGTTCCCCATCTTTGGCCATATGTGCAGTTTCTTTATTAGGACTACCCAAAATGCATTGCCTTCTTTGAAATTTTTCATCAGGCTAGCTGTCACAAAAATGGGAATAGGGCAAGAAATAAAATAAATGCAGAATTTAGGCTGGAATTTTTAACTCTGAGGCCTGCAGTTTACATTGCTGCTGCTTGGAGATTTGCAGAATGAATGAAGCCATCACTAGTGGGGTGCTTCTAGTATCTTGTTATACCCAGCAATGCATTCTGGGACAAATAAATAATCTCTAGAAACATGAAGACCTGATGCAGCTTTGATCTGTCACCTGCTTTGGGTGAATCACACAGGTTCTTGATTAAGCAGAGAGTTGAAATCAAGATAAATTTGACCTTGTTTTTAATTACAGACAAATTTTAAGTGACACAGAAGGTAAAAAGTTACTTGAAGCTGGTTTGTGCTACCTAGAGGTTAGAAGAAATGGAGCCCTCAGTATAATATCCTCCTAGTGGTAGAAAACCACCTTTCTTTGGCCATAGGCTCCTTTCCAAACCACACTGAAAAGCAGATAATTGTTCTGGTCCATGAGGAAAAAATATCCCAGATTGATAGTATGTTTTCACATACTCAAATGTTTTAATTTCTTATTAGCAATCTATATATGTAGGTATTTCTCGTAGATATGTCATATTACAGTGGTGCCTCGCTTTACGATTGCTCCGCATTATGACAAATCCGATTTACGACAATCTTTTTGTGATCACAAAACGATGGTCTAAATGGGGGAATTTCGCTTTGCGATGATTGGTTCCCTGCTTCGGGAACCGATTCTTCGCAAAATGATGTTTTTCTAACAGCTGATCAGCGGTTTCAAAATGGCTGCCGGGTAATTAAAATGGCTCCCCGCTGTGTTTAGGGACGGATTCCTCGCTATCCAGGCAGCGAAAATGGCCACCATATGGAGGATCTTCGCTGGACAGTGAGTTTTTACCACATTGGAATGCATTGAACGGGTTTCAAGGCGTTTCAATGGGGTTTTTTATTTCACTTTACGATGTTTTCGCTTAATGGTGATTTTCCTGGAACAGATTATCGTCGTTAAGCAAGGCACCACTGTACAGAGATGGTACTGCCTGTGTCTTCTAATTGGGGCAATTCGTATTTTTTAGGATTGCTAACCTTTTGTGTGAGTGTTTACTATACTTTCTGGCCAGTTGCAAGTGTGAACTCTTTCTCTCTTTCTCCCTTTGCTTGTTTGGTATTCTGGGGTGGCTGTCTGGACAGCTAGTTTCGCCCTGTTGCCGTCATGTTAGAGAGGAGAGACAAATCAAGGCCTAACAGATCAGGGAGCTGTCGTTCTGCAAATGCAATCGGGGTAGTAAAATGGATATCATCGGAAACTGGCCTAGCTGGAGGCCCTGTGAAATATAACCCCTCAAATATCTTCCAGTTGTCCAAACAGCTCCTCACGCATGTGTATGTACCAGAGGCTGGTTTTATTGGCCAGCAAAAGAAAAATAGAAGAAAACTGGCAATCGGTGGAATTTAGCACGGAGTCCAGATGGCCTAAGCCATTGAAAGCGGGTTTGTTTTGCACAGGTTTCCTTCAGAATGGTCTGACCTTCTGCTTAGTGTGAATGAGTGAATCTACTACAATGTGTGAGTACTGTGTAGACTGATTAAAAATTCCTGATGTCTGTATGTATAGTTCCCTTGAGGCTCTTGTTGGTTGTGTTTCTTTAACAAATATTACGCTGAAAAGTGCTTTCAAGGCGTATTAACCATTATGTTTTAAAACAGAACATCAGAAATCTATGTCGTGGCAGGCAGGTTTTTGGCCCTCCAGTGTTGTTGGACTGTAGCCCCCGCCATCCCTCACCTAAGGCAGATGGGCTTTGTCATTGCCCTCCAGTGTTGTTGGACTGTAGCCCCCACTAAGGCAGATGGGCTTTGTCATCGGACAACAACTGAAGGGATGCAAGATGCCCTCACTGATCTGTATGCTTGATTTGGTGAAGTTGTAATTAATGAAGTTTGCAGGCAGCTGGAAGCAATGTGTGAAATCCTGGGTTCGAATTAGCTGAGGTTGGGCATGGATTCAGCTGCATGTCTGAATTTGCTGCCCTAGTCGTAGTAGCAAAGACTTTAGAAATAGCTGAAGTGATAACATTGTGTTGGATCTGCTTCTTTATTTTTTCTGCCTCCACACTTGTTTGTGTTACAGAGAACTCTTCCACTTGGCTTAGATGCTGGGCGGTACGCTGATGCTGAGAGCCAAAGTATTTTTTTCCGGCTTATATAAGGTGCTTGTGTTAGCCCAGTGGAATTCCTTGACTAACATTTAGTTGGTGATTCTTGTCCCCCTGCCATATTGAAAACTAGTTTTGAAATTCCCCACTCCTGTTTAAAAACTATTTGCCATTTAGTTCGACGAAGAATAGGTTTAAATCAATTTTAGCTCTTAACATTAGTTTTACTTTATTGGCTTGTTGCTGTATATTCATCAAGATACAGCTTTTCAGCTAAGAAACATGTGATTAACCAGGAATATATGTTGATGTTTGCTCTGAGGTATGTGATACCTCAGATGGTGATACCCTTCCAGGTCTGCAATTCTAAGATTATTACCATAATCATCATGCTTCACCAAAACCTTGGTTCTACAAGACTTTCTGTGCAGAGGAGGTGTTCCAGCCTTCTGTTTCTAGGGCTGTTTAATAATTCCTTCTGAGATGTGTGACTAGTTCTGAGTGTACTGTTCAGGCTGTCCTCACAATTAGTTTTCTACCACTCAATGTTTTTTTTAGAATTCCCATGTTGTTCTAATTTTAACTATTTTACTGCTCCTGTTGCTATTTATTGTTGGAGATTGAGAAAAACCAAACAGACCTTAAACTGCCAGTATGTGGGTGCTCACCTCTGTTACACAGAAAATAAAGAATTTCTGGACAATTCTTCTGCACCGTCCACGAAAGGGGTGGTTGCTTAGAGGCTGAGGAAGTGGGTTACGCAGACAGCTACACAGATTTTGATTGGGGTTGCAAGCCTCAGTGGGACTTCAGATAATCAGTGTGTGGCTGAGATCCAGTTTCTCCTCCTTCCCAGGCCAATTTCAGCCTCTATAACAGGAGGAAAAGAGAACATTACTGCAGATGGTCCTCAGGGCCCATTATATGCTGTAAAGCCAATTCTGACTTATGGCAACTCTGCCAGTTTTTACAGTGTCAACTACTAGAAGGGGAGGGGTCCTAATCCCTGCTACTGATGGTGCTCTGGGACCACACAGTTTACCCAAAAGGGTACAATTTACAAAACCCGTTAGTTGCACTCACTCTCTGGATGAAATTCATTGGCACCTTTCCCAGGGGGAACAGTGAGGATTGGAACTCCAAAGACCCTGACTCCATAGTTAGGCTCCCCAACCCAATACGAGCACTTGCAAAGGTCATGTTACCTGTTACGTGCAGAACCGACTTATGGTGACCCTAATAGGGCTTTCAAAGTAAATGATATATTTAAGGAGAGGTTTTACTTGTGCCATCCCCTCTCCCACTTCTGTGGGTTTCCATGGACAAACAGGGCCTGAATTCTAGTCTGTCACTACCCCCTCCCACACTGTCATGGCTGGCGCTCATGGTTGGTGGGGCAGAAGGCCTAGCGCAGGTGGCCTGATCTAGAGGCAGAAGCATTACACAGACGTATACATCGGAGTGAATGAGACCTCTGACACCACCACCGGTAAGGAGGCAGGCAGACATAGGTGGCTGTAGGAGTCGGCTAGAGGCAGGGCAGTGCTCCTTTTGCTGTAATG